ACATTTTAATTAATTACGGAATAAATATTGAGAACATTTCAAAATGGTATGTAACTTTTATGATTATTTTGACTCGTTTATGATTATTTTAACCCGTATATAGCGGTTGCTCGACCAGTTACCGGACACCCTGTATATGAGTGTGACTTTTTCAATCAAGATTGTTAAATTAAAATAAAAGTTCTATTTGCTCACTACATTTTTCCTCACTTTGATTTTTCTTCTATTGATTAAAAGTATTTCTAAATGTGCTTATAAATTAATTAAAAGGCTTATATGTCACGTTTGGAGACATTTTTATTGATAAAAGAGAGTTTAGAAGAAAGTTCGAATGTCTTACTCGGTAAAGTATTATAATATGATATTGTTATAATACTTATAGTATTATAAAGTATTATAATATTGTTATAATGAGAATTAAATTTTTCTTTTGAGTATAAGGTAATGAGTTCTCCTAGAATTTCTGATAAATATATTTTAAGATTGTTATAAAAAAAATATTCTTTGTTGAAGATAATCATTATTTAACAGGAGGAAAGTAAACTGACTAACCATTATTCTGTGTGAGATTTCATCTATGTAGACAATGAATAATCTATGGATGTTGTTTAAAAAATGTATGGCTTGTTCACGAATTAATTTAAAAAAATTTATATTTTATGTAAACTTATGAACTTATGAACGTTGTATCCCAAACAAATGATGGTCCATAAAATTCTTTGGTAACATTTTTGCTACCAGAATTACCAGTTATGTCACATAATAAAATAAAAATTTCATGCAATTGTTATCTTTTTTAAACATTGCATTTATATATAATTAATGCCATATATATATATATATATATATATATATATATATATACATATATATAAATGCAATGTTTAAAAAAGATAACAAATTGCATGAAATTTTCATTTTATTATGTGACATGACTGGTAACTTTGGTAGCAAAAATGTCATTAGATATGTTTATATATATATATATATATATATATATATCATCGGCATCCTTGGTATTTCTCCATTCAGATGGTTCATAAAAAATTAAACAAAAATAGTTTCCTTCTCTCCGATAGAACTGCCACGATTAAAAAATTATTCTATTAAACGAAAACGAGTTTCGCTCAAATATATCCAAAAATTTATCTTTATCACGACAATTTCAATAACGTTACTTGACAACAGATCTTTTCTCCATACGATAAGTTTCATTACAATATCAAGTGCGTTCTTTGACACCGTAAATCCACTGCAGTTATTATGAGTCTGAGTATTTCCAATATACATATATATATAAACATAGATGCTGCAACTATTTTATAATGCTGTAATCTTGTCTGTAAAATTGTTCTGTAATCTTGTATATTTTAATATAATTTACAAAATATCCTACGTAGTTTACATTGTCTACATGAGAAAAGACTGTGTATACATCACGTAGGCAATACGTAAACAATTCGCGTAGACGTGATGTTGAAACTTACGATACAACCCTGCTGTAGACTACAGTCATTATTCCAAATTCTTTTTTATCGATAAAAGAGAGTTCGGAATAAAGGCCTATCTAATGTATTACGACGACAGTCCCCGGGAAGGCTCTATGACGAGAATCTGTATTGTACGCGAATTGTCGCTGTCGATGCTGCCAGCAATTTCGATCCTCTACCCTGACTTCAACTGCGCAACTAACTTATAGAAGAGTACTCCTTTTGTAGGTTCTTCGCGTTACTCTTGCACCTCTGTTTCTTCTGGCGGAATTCTACATTACGACGAGCTCGCATTACTTCAAGAATATAGAAATTCAGGCGTCACGTTGAGTTCCCGCAATCGTTAAGCTATTATGTATTCTTGCCGACTAGCTGTGAATCTCTGCCAGTTGAGACACTCGTACACACACGCACACTTACATGTACGCCCACACGCACACATATACATATACATACGTCCACCCGGAATTATCTAACCATTCTAATTCCGTCATTATTTACCGCGCTTCGCCGGCTTCGTGTTAGATTCTTATTCCGCTGAGCGAATTTGGACCTCCGCTAGTCGAATCATTCGAAATGATCATTACGATATTCCATCGATCTCTGTTGCACTATCTTTACGATTATACTCACGATAGACCAGCTAGATCAGCTTCCCGCATAGAAATTTCTCAAAATCATCATAGATGCAGCTTAGATACTGATCAGAATGCCCAAATTTATCCCAAAATTAGTTACAATATCACTATGATACTATTATAATACCAATTAGGGAATCCTATTGTCCCAAATATGTGTTCTCTGTCTAAAATCGAATCAGAAATACTATGGGAACTCATGTTTTTTTTTTTTTTCAATCAATAATGTCAGTATACTTTTATAAAACAGGGAACTTTTATATCAACTATTGTATACGATAGAATAAAATATCAAAAAATAAAATATGTTTAAAACATTGAGCATTTTACTGAATAATTAAATTATTTAGAAAGTCAGCTTGTTTTATTTGATTCTAGCATTAAATGAAGACCGGAAAAGATATTGGGAAAACTTTGCTTCCTCTATAGAATCGCATATTTTAAACATTAGAATTTTAACCAATACCTATAATTATTTCGGGAAATCAGATTGGATTGAACCTCAGTTAGATCCCAAGAAATTTTCTATGCAGGTTGCTCAATTACGCTTTTGCTGTATCCTCGTTTTTCCGCAGAATCAGTCATGAGAGCACAGTGACCGATCTTCTCACGATGCTTTCACGGAACAGAAATAGACAGAGAAGAGAAAGGAGATATATATATATATATATATATAGAGAGAGAGAGAGATAGATAAAGAGAGAGACAGAAAATGAAAGAAATAGATAGATAGAGAGAAAGAGAGAGAGAGGAGTACTCGTTCCATGAGATTACCATAAGCTCCCACCGGCCGGCAGTTTCTCTTTTTTTCTCTTCCGTGGAACTGAACGTTAGGACATTTGGACCGACGCCTCAGTAAACGGAACTATACTCCATGTCGTGGGCATATTGGGGTGGTCCTGGGGGTGGCGGCGGCGGCTGTGGACTGTATTGTTGCGAAGCGTCCGAGGCGCGGCGTCTGAGCGCCGCGATGCTGTGGGCGCCTCTCCAGTCCGACGCCTCGTTCGCGCTCACGTCGGCACCGACGCAGGAGACACCGCCGCCGCCACCGCCTCCGCCGCCGCCGCCGTTGCCGGAAGTTGTACCTGGCGAACCTTGACCGCAGTTCAAGCTTGAACCCATTCCGCCCTGACCGCCACCCACTGAGGAGCTACCTGGCGGCGAGCCTCGAGACGCCGACACGTGAACGCCACCTGAAAAGTAGAAGAAAGTGATGATTAAATGCGTCTCTTCGTTAGACAACTTGATCACGCTAGTGTTAGCCTGTCGATGAACTACGCAGTCTTAAAAAGGTAGAAACATGAGTAACTTTTACTTATAATGAAAATCTTTAGCTTTCCTCACAGTAGCTTTCATCCCCTACGTTGAAATGGATGTTTTTGTGAGATATCGAGGTAAAAGTGCCAATGCCTGAACACGTGCCTAATTTAGGATATTCTTATTGTTTTGGTGTTTAAATACGAATACTTAAACTTTCAACATGAAATATATGCATATATATTCTACACACAGAAAAATATATACTGTATTCTAGTAAATGTTACTTGTTTTAAGTATTTCGTAAATTTATATATCAGCAAACTTATTATAAGTTCGACATAGGAATTAAGTTTATTCAAATAACATTTTCTGAAATTTAGTGAATATAACATTTCAACAAAGAATATTAAATTAAAACACAAATTTAGTTCATTTACTCAAATTCAGTTTGTTTACTCAACCAGAAGGCTTATGAGTCACATTTACAGGCACTATTATTGACTGAATAAGGACGTCAAACCAACTTTTTTCTCGATGAAGTTTTATAATATTCTTGTAAAGAGATAATTCTTTTCTGAGTGGTGAGCTTTTTCAATTTAAAATTGTTATCAAGAAAATATTATATATTAATATATTCTTTAGAGTAAAATAATTTAGTTAAGAGAAACAAAGTAAAATAAGTAGTTGTTTTTAAAATTGTAAAAGTCGCAATAAAATAATATTTTTCTGTTAAAATATACCGTTAAATATATTAAAAGCTTAAGTGTTTATATTTAAAGATTAAAACAAAAGAATACCTTAATATGTGTCTAAGCATTGTAAGTTTTTTTTTTTTTACTTAAATGTGTGTGTGAATAAAACTTACTCAACTCTACTTTAATCGCACCATAAATTATTATTGCCTTTCTAGAGTTAAAATTTTGAATATGAATAAAATTTACTCACGCTACCTTTCTAGGGTTAAACGATTGCTTGAGACTACTGAATGGCTCCTGGATTATTTTGCGATATCACAACTGGACTTTCTTCGAGAAAGTTTGCGAACATAGTGCCAAATATAAAATATATTTGCTTGTGAATACATCGAGTAATAAAGGGTAAATATTTACGGTGATGGAGTCTCTATCGTCCACGAAGCTCTAGCTGCGTGGACGAGTTAGACTTTCTCGCACCCCCGGGGCAACTCAGGTAGAGGAGAGGCAATTTACAGGTGCGATATCGCAGGTGTAGAAGCGAACGGGCGAGCGTTCCTCCGCAGGAGATATTAATACGGTAGGCTGACAAAGAGCCGTTGGGGTGCGCATGCTACTGGTGTCGTAAAGTCGTTTCCGCCTCCTCGTGCTCTCCACGCTGGTGGGCTCGAAAGACAACGGGGAAAAGGGACCATTTTACGACGTTGTTGCGCTCCGAACACAAGTTTGCGGAGGACTATGGCCAGCCGCCGCTTTTCAAAAGCCGTACGAAGCAACGGATATCTAATGGCGACCATGTACGTGATTTTACGACTTTCAGTCTCTCCTTCTCTCTCTCTCTCTCTCTCTCTCTCTCTCTCTCTCTCTCTCTCTCTCTCTCGCTCTCGCTCTCTTTCTCCTAACCGAAATTCTGTCAATGATGCCCGCCGAGGGCACTTCGCGACTTATCGCGTTTACGCAAGATCGACAAAGTTCTACACGAAAATTTAAGAGCAAATGCAAAATCCATATATATAGGATGTCTGAAAATTCCAGATGTAGCTGTGGAGTGCAGGTAAAACTGCATGGAAAATGTTCTATACTATTTTACAAACAATCACGTAAAATTGTAAGTTACTAATTAAAGAAGATTGGTGAATGTTTGCGCTGGATGTAATACAAAGTATGAAGATACGATATCCGTTGTAAGCTTGTACATTAGGTCAAACTGAATAAAAAATTCTGTACTATTTTGCAAATAAGCAGATGAAATCTGACATAATCTCATTTGAAGATTAACATTTAACATTAATATAGATATATTTTCTATATAATAATTTTTTTTTTCTCTGTGTCTTAGATTAAACTGACCAAGAAGCTTCTCTACCATTTTGCATATAATCACGTATTAGATTTATAAGTTATTAATTACAGGAGATTGGCGGAGAATCGCGTATAATCACCAGTCTTCTTTAAATTAATGATTAAAAAATCTATGTGGTTATTTGTAAAATAGAGTAGAGAATTTTTTTCGGTTTGATCTAATGTACAAAGAAGAAAAAATATTCTTGTTTGGAAAATATTTTTGTTTTCGACGTCTTAATTTTCAAATAAGATTACATAACATTGAACAAAGATAAATTATTTGCAGGAATATATTTTATATAATTCATCAAAGAAAAATCTATTTTTATTGAGAATATGATGTTTTTAAATTTCGGAAAAAGATATCATTGTCAGATATCATTAAAATAATCGTATTGCACTTCCTATCAAACTACTATAATATTCAAATAAAATTACAATATTGTTAAAATTCGAAATTTTAAAATTCTTTTAACATAACTATATATTATTGCTTACATATATGAAACAACGATTGTTGAAAAACAATTGTTAAAATTTGGATATATTAGTTTTAAGTGGATACTCTTTTTTCTGTATATAAGCACACAACATATTTTACTTACCGTCACATCCTGAATTACATCAAACGTGATTGTTCATCAATCTTCTTTAATTGATAACACAATATTTTACGTGATTACTTGCAAATGGTACAGAACTTTTTCGTACAATTTGACGAGTTCACCAGAACCGTGTGCGGAACTTTCAGGCACTCTGTATATGACCAAGTGAGAAAAGACGGTAAATAAGAGTCACATGCGGTTATTGGTACGAATTGCTAAATTTTTATGGGAGAATAATAATGTCTAACAGTGTGAACGCACGCGCCAAATATTTTTCGGATTTGCAACTTACGCGGTGAATCAATCTTCCACGTCTCAGACCAACTCTTTATATATATAGAAATTATTTTAATATTAAATTAATCCTTTAATATCTCATTCCCTCCCCAACAAGTTATTTCAATTATGCACTTGCTTTCTAACTTTCTTACGATATTAATATTAAGTGTAGCAAAAAGTATTGCCTTAACTAAGAGTTAAACCTGGACCTCTCTTCTTATGCTTTATGTGTGTGTGTGTAAATATACGTGTATATAAATGAATATACGACTCCTGCTTGGAAATGCGTTAGAAACAAACACAGAATTTGTTTTGGCGCGTCTCGCGAGCATCAAAATCTGCACTTGCGGAAATCATGCCAGTTTTAATAGCCGTAACCGCGATACGCGACTTTCACGCCGTTGGCGCTGGTGTGCGTGTCGAAAATTGGGCGTTTTGAGACGCGTTAATTTACACGTTATAGAGGCTTGTTTGCGCCGGCCGACTAGCGGTCGTTGTAGGAGAGACACCAAATGGAACTCCTCGATCGACTAGCTTCGGCTTCGTGTCGTCGGGTTACATTGCAGTGCTAATCATCATCAGTAACCGAAAAATAACGCTCTGCTCTAAAAGCTATTTGCTCTATGTGTTATCCACGGATAAAGGCGAGTAGCCGGGCTGGAGACCCGGTTCACCTCAAAATCGCATTTGCACACACGCACATGCACGCACGTACGTCGACGTGCTCATGGAACGTCGATTTTTTCCTCCCGAGTGACGCTGCTCGACGATAATACCCGGTAATTGGCACTGTATAAGCGTTACGTGCGCCTACATGCACAGAAATACACATACACATACACACACACATTCACACACAGATACAACACACGTGAGATCTAGATATACCTCGTAGGCAACTTGTGAAATCACGTTATGCCAGATTTTACCGTAAACTTCCTTTATATTGAGAAAAGAAGTTGCTAGATCGACAAAGTTGGCGGTTTTGAAACAAATATTGTATCCATTGAACAAACAACGCGTTAGGGAGAATTCACATTTTAGCAGAAAACAAAAAGTCAGAAGCCAATCTGAATTCGTGCTGGTAGAAAAGCAGAAACTGTCAACCATCACCTGACCACCAGTGGAAGTTCTAATTGGCTTCTGCCTTCTGCTTTTTGCTTTTCTGCCAAGGTGTGAATTCGCCCTTAATGTATACAATAAATTGCGCCAATATAGTTACTATATTAAATTGTAATAATCAAAAAATAAATAAATCAATAACTCTCTTTATTTCTCATCACAGCAACTATATAATTCATTCCATCAACTAAACGTTTTTTTTCCGTTTATATATATAAGCAAAATCTCATTAAGTCAACTACTTTTTATTTTCTCAATGTAGAAGCGTCAAGTTACCGCAGAAGAAAGCGAGAAATCAGATTATATCACACGTCTGGACAATCCGGGCGTGTTAATGAGCAATTAATTTTTTCGATGCAATTCTGCGCGAAAAAAAGGACTTCCACTTACTCGCGGTAACGTGATTATCGCCAGTGATTTTGGAGGCATTTGATATCACTCGACTGTCTTCTCGCGCACACAACTCGCAGCCGGCGAGAGAATCCGGTGTTCTCGTGAACACACAAGATCTGTACCGCTTCGACGAATTTGTCTGCAGGGTCGGTAACCTCGGTCAACGTCTAGCAGCGAGTATATATCGGTAGGACACAAGTCGGTCTGCTCGAGTGCATCGAAATGTGCTATATAAAAACGACGCTCGAACACGACTTTCCCTTTAAAATACATGCAGTTTACTAGTTACTGAGGAATATAAATAAAAATGGTATTCTCCGCCAGGCAAGACAGCGAGACTCTTTCTTTTTATATTATCGGTTTTCTTATCAATTATGTCTCGAGAATACGATATTTCTCACATGGATAGGACAATCCTAACTCCGTTAGTGTAATCGAATTTTCTGATACTTGTGACGATTAGATGAGAAAAACTCGAAAAGACAGAAGAGACTTGTC